ATGGCACATGTAAATTAAAATAGTGCTATAACATTTTATTAAAAGATGCATAAATTGATCCATTAAATTGATTCTTTTTCTTTAAGTAATGTTCTATATAGACTCCAGCCTTGGACACCTCTTACCCTGTTCATATAAACTAAAGAGGAGTGTTCAGACAGCCTGCAACTGTACTGGTGACGTTTTGCTCCCTCTCACTCAACGGTATGAGCAACCGGTCAAAAAAGGTGATTATCCCTCAGTATTCAACGTTGGTGTGGCCTCACCTTGATTCCTGCTTGCAGTTCTGGGCCCCATGATTTAAGAAGGATGTGATGGTCCTTGAATGCATCCAGAGGAGGGCAACCAAGCTGGTGACAGAGCTGGCAGGCGTGTCCTGTGGGGAGCGGCTGAGGACTTTGGGCTTGTTTCGTTTGGAGAGAAGGAGGCTGAGGGGCGACCTCATTCTGTCTGCAGCTTCCTGAGGAGGGGACGTGGAAAGGGACGTGTAGAGCTCTTCTCCCTGGGATCCAGTGATAGGGTGTGTGGGAATGGTTCAAAGCTGCACCAGCAGAGGTTTAGACTGGACGTTAGGAAGCATTTCTTTACCAAGAGGGTGGTCATACACAAGAACAAGCTTCTTAGAGAGGTGGTTGATGCCCCAAGCTTGTCAGGGTTTAAGAGGCATTTGGACAGTGCCCCTAATAACATGCTTTAACTTTTGATCAGCCTGGAATTGGTCAGGCAGTTGGGCTAGATGATCATTGTAGGTTCCTTCCAACTGAAATATTCTGTTCTATATTATTAGTTTTTAAAAATAACAGTTGCTGTGCTTGACAATATTTCTGCAGAGTGAAATCCTCTTTCTATATATCACTTTTGAAGTTTATCATATATAACATCTCAGGCAGCAGTATACAGTGTTGTTTATTTTGAGGCAAAACCCCATAGTCTTGAATACTTTTCCATGTTACTGTGTCCATCAGTAACATCAGGGCATAATTTATCAGGCAAAGCAATCTTTGCAAAACAGAAGGAGTACTTTTTTTCTGAGTTGAAGTACCTGTGTTTCAGGGACTCTCTGAAGAGTATACAGCCACCACCTTGCCATCTTATTCAAGCAACAGTAAAAGGACTTGTAGCCAGAAGAAATTAAGAGTTCCAAAGATTACCCTAAACTTTATTAATATTAAAACAGTTATATCAGCTGTAGATTACAGTATCTCTTGTGCAATGTGTTGCTGGAGAGACTTTGCACAGGAGGAAGGTGACAAGCAAGGATGTTCAAAGGTTTCCCTGATTTCCCTGTACACTCCCACTTATTTTGCTGCTTTATGCAACTAGCCAACAGTACAGATCGCAAGAGGGGTGGGCTGTGTGAAGACCCATGATATTTCTTTTGTACTTTTTGAAGGTCAATATTGTTCATCATCCTCTAGGACATCATTCCTAGTCATTTTCTACATCTATTAAGTATTTTTAAAGATGCTTTTCTTTATTAGAGGAAATAGAAATACTTCTACTTTGTATATTAATTAGTTACCTAAGTTCCAGTATGTGTGATTATGTTTGGTTATGGGATAGTGTGACTTCTAGTAATGCAGACTATTAAATATACTGCTAAAAAGCTTGAAAGAGGTTTTGGGGCATTTTCTAGGCATTTTAATGTCTCATAGGAAGTAACTTTTGAAGCCTGAATTCTGTTCATGTTGTGTATGAACTTTATGTTGTGTATGTAGTGTGCCATGGCATTTTATTACAAAAGTTTATCCATCAAAAGACTTGAAAAAATATTACTATATTTATGTTATTAGAAAAAGATCTGCTGCATTTTTTTCCTGTAAAGCATGTGACAAAAGTAGTCTACAGCACTTGTTGGACATTATCAAAATGTGCTTTTTCAGATTGCACTGAACTTGCCCATGGCTCAAGTGTCTGTAACAAAAAAAAAAAAAAGAGGAGGCACCCCCTCGCTCCCTTTTTTTGAAGGGAACAATAACATAAAGACAGCAGTCATAAGCAAGGAAAATTTGCTGAGAAGGAAGACAAGCCTGCTTCACTTCCAGTGTCTTTTCTCAGATGGCTCAGTCCTGATCACGTTGACCCCTGTGGCTAGGAACCACCAAGGACCATAGCCTTCAGTGCTAACTATACAGTATCAACTCTATCATATCATGTACTCACAGCTAATTTAGCATACAAGTGTTAAAAACTAGCACTTATATACACAAGAGGATGTTTAATAGTGTGGAAGAATTGACCATTACCAAGACGACTGATGTTAATGAATGAACTTAATTTAAAGTTTAAAACAGGCCTGATGTGTCAGCCTTCTGAACGTTCCCATCACAGCAGTTCTGATTTCCTCATACATGTGTGTGCACTCAGACATGCAATCTTGCATACATTCAATTGCAAAAAAAAAAAAAAAAAACAGCATCTTAGTTATACAAACCTTCAGTGCTGTTTGTTCTTAGTTACCCAGTGAAAAGCTAGTACTTACTTTATCCCCTGATTTCTTCTTGTGCACTGGGATTTCATCACCTAAACATTTTTTTTTTGCACGTATAAAGAATCTGAACAGCTGAGAGGATATTTGTTTTGATTTTTATGTCCTGCAATCTGCTGCCACTTTCTGGAGCAATTGGCACTCTCTTCTGTGGAGATTCATCAGATCTTTGGAGTGTATTTTTCTAATAATAAGTTAGCAGATGAAGATGGACAGTAGGTTTTGGTTTGGCTTTTTACTCCCTAGATAAACGTTACAAATAGGAATTAATTTGCATTAACATACTGTGAATCCTACAATAAACAGCTTTCAGTTTTAGGCAAAGATCTATACATATGCATTATGAGTTTAGTTTTATAAATATTCTGTGGCTGCCTGGTAACTGAAGCTATCTGGGGTGTGCAAGAGAAACCTGAGCAGTATACTTGGTGATTGGTTGTAACCGTATTCCAAGCAAGTTCATATTCTCATATAAATTAGTGGAAAAACATACTTCTGTGGTTTATATATTATTTTAAAACTGGAAATTTATCAAGTGATTTTTCTTGAAATTTCCATGCTTATTAAATTTCAGATTATGTATTTTGAGTAAGCTGGAAACCTAAACTTGTTTCCATAAGTATGGCTGCAAGTAAACAACCAATTTTAGTCCAGAAAATAGCTTTTTCTTCTGTCAACATGTTGTTTATTTTCTCCCTGAGATAAAAAGTTCAGTTTTCTGATATTTGTACCAAGATAAAGTCTGTAAACAAGATTAATATAGTGTGGAAAAGGTTGTCAGCAACCCTGGCAAAGGAAATAAGTTGCCTGTACACAGAACATACTGTAAACTGAATAAAAGTGTCAGGTCCACCATGAGATAATGTGATCATGAACCTCTAACAAAGCATGACATAGGCACAGTCGGCTTTTCTTATAGCCACAGTGTAGAAAATGGATTACTATATTCCAGGGATACCCACTGGAATAGCATGAAAACCTCATTTTGAGATTAATGCAGGATGTAACTCTCAAGAGCTGAGCTACATGTTTACCTGTAGTGTTAAAGTAACAGTTTAGTTATTAATCTTAAAGTTTTGAAATTACATATTAAATACTTCTTCATTTTTCTAGGCCTGTCTTTGTGAATTTACATTTCTCACTCTTCTTATTAGGTGAACTATGACATTGCAAAAGTAATGTTTGGTCACTGTTTTATTATTATCATGTGGCCATGTAAGGCATCAGTAAGTCTAGTAAAACAGTAAATTCCAAAAGTGCGTAAAGCAGTAGATGCCATGATTTCCTCTACTAGGGATCTGTATGTTTGCACAGATTTTTCTGTGGTAAGATACTACCAATTATTTTCAATCACCATCAGCCAAAAAAGTGACAACACTTTAGGGTTTCTCAGTTTGGCCATGAGTGACATCATTCTTTGGGTCAAAGAAACAGATTTTGGTCAAACACTTTAACTGCATGGAGCTTTCAATTTATTCACTGAGTGTTCTTTGAAAGTTTTCCAGACTTGGAGCTCCGACTGCCCTGGCTTTTTTCCATCATGACACCAGACGTATAGCAATATTTTTCTTGAAAAGTTAAGCACATTGCTCTTTTAATAAAAAGTAGGCTACTTTTATCTGTGAATCTTCTGCTTGTGTACTTCCAGCAAACCTGAGCCATATAAATGTATTATCATTGAGTTTTTGTGATCTCCTTTCAAAACTGGCAGAACATCTGACTTCATTTCTACCTCTGGTCATCTACAGACTGTAAAACTGTCACTAGGAATAGTTTTCTTTCTGCTCTGGTTCTTCAAGCATGAGTTTCATTGGGTGGTACATTGTTATTCTGCTTTTACCTATCTACATGTGCAGACAAATTAAGCATATTCTAAAAATAAAAATAAAACTGTTTGAATGCATTCTTGAGTAATACCACAAATCATCATCTGTAAAAGTCTGCCTGTGCTATCATGCATTCTTAAGTTTATTCTTAAATTGAACGTATTATGCATTTTTGGTTTCAGTGTGTATGTAAAGAATTAGACAAGGACTATAGTACAGTGTGGTAAAAATGATTCTCTCTTTGCTTTCTATCTCACATCAACTTGAATTTCCAAAGTTTTGTGTTGGGATACAAAAGTTGGGAGCATTTTTAAATAAATTTATTTCTGTATTATCCATAAATAATGATAGTATTTTGAAGATTATTTTCCAAACATCTAACCTTAATTTTTCGGAGCTAAAGTGCTTCATGGACTTTCCAAAGGTAACTTAGGCCCCTAACATCTGTAAAGGTCTAATGTCTAGCATCCAATCAGAATTGCACATAAAGGATTTTGGTAAATTTTGTATAGCAGTTTGTGCACGTGGCCTTTACTTAAAAATTGAAGATACTGCTAATTATATTTACTGTATCTAGTGTACTGTCTCTTATATTTAATATCTGTGATATACTTTCTTAATAAACAATCACTGTGTGTATGCTGCTCCATTATTCAAATACTTTTTTTCCTATTTTTTTCCATTAGATAACTCCAGGAGCAGGCGGTAGCAGGAAAACAGTTCACTTGTCCCAGGATTCTCTTCACCATGAGTAAGTATCAGTGGTGGGAATTATAACTCTTTATCATTGCTTTACAGTAGTACATTTGTCCCACAACCACATTTTACAACTGTGCAAACATGTGATAAGAGAGCCTCAGCTCTGTTACATAATGATCTTTATTTAATAATAGTACTTATAATCCTTTCTAATTAATTTTATGTTTCTTAAGGAAATGTGAAGTTCAGTGCTTTGTAATGTGTTTATATTAACTTGCTGAGTATATGGTTTCCTAAAACACACCATTTTTTAAGACTAGCCATCAAATATGGGTTGTTTAAAAAGACCTGATTTATTTGTCTCCAAAGGGAAATTCAGAAATGTCAAGCTTGAATATATGAAAATAAACAAGTATCACATCTTTGAGTCTTAAACATGATCTATCATGTGAGGAAGGAGGTTATCATAAATTTCACAAAAATACATTGAATTAATTGTTTAGATGCATGTAAATAGTGAATGTCATTCAGTTCATTTAGTTACTCCAGTGTGCCAAACTCTTCCTCTGATCAGCTGACAACATTTAGCAGCATTATTTCTTGGTTATCTCTTTTGAATAGTTACACTAAGATTAAATTTTCTTCTATTTTCCAAATCAGAAATCTAAAACACCAACACACGTGATTAGGAAATCATATATTTAGGGATATATTTATATGTTCTAACTGCTACTGGATGTAGCATCCACAGTTTAAAACAAACCTTGCCAAAGCATCAGATTGTCAGTACCAACTGGTTTATGCTACTAATCCACTTCTCCTGCATGCCATAGCTTGCTAATGTGTGCGTTAACTAAAGAGGTTGTAATTTCATAAGGTATTTCTACCCTGAAGTAATTCAACTGGTATTTTTGGGGTTTGACTTTTATTTTGTTAAAACAAACAAGCAAACAAATAACACTGTAACTAAGTGAATGAACAAAATCATAAAAATCAGTGTGATGTGCATATCACTTTCTCATTACAAGAGATGTTACTCTTTATGAAGGATTTTTAATGTCTAAATATGAAATACATTCAAATTACTTTGATATATTTTTTCAGTAGAAATACATTTTACTAATAAATTAGTTTGTAATCCACTAATTTGCCACAAACCAGCAGAGGTTATGTGGAGGAGGATACCCCAGTTTGCTGCTCCTCATTGAGTGTTTGCTGTTGACACTGGTCAGAGACAAGACACTGATCTGTATGAAACTTAGATCTAACCCCCTATATTTCTTATCTTCATCGGCTTCTGGATGTTTGTGACCTTATTTTTTGGGGCACTTGCAAATGTCATGGTTTTTCTTTTCATCCACTGCCAACGTCAGTTGGGTGTGCATGAAATCTCCCTGTTTTCCTCAGATTTTGAACTATTCAGTGCAGTTGGTGAATTTTTCATGTCCAAAATATATAAATATCTACCTTATCTCAAGGTATACTTTTAACTTTATTGATATTCTTTTTTCATTTCCAACTTCTTTTCCTTCTTCACCTTAAAAGTAGCAAAAGGAATTAGTGGTATGTAGGTTTTGGTGACAGCTGGTCTTGTGTACAAGAACGAGAGGGTTGACTGTTCATCATCAAACACAAAAACTGAGTAACTAAAAGCCACAAAACTTTCAGATTTATGGCTTAAAAAAAAAAAAAAAAAAAAAAAAAAAGAGTAATTTAGACCAGACAATTTAATGGATTCTGTTTCTTCTTGGTATATTAATTAAAGTAAAAATTTTAGTGTCATTATGTGGCTGTTGTGGGGAAAAAAAAATGAGAGTAAACTGTGTTGAATTTATCTACTTCAGAAAAAGCATGAATAGGCTAAGCTTATAATTTTTGGTTGTACTTCTAGAGGAACTTACAGGCATAACAGTAGATAATATGATGGGGGTTTTATGTAATATTCTAGTGAATGGAATTATTTTATCCTTTGCCCAAAACCTACTGCTTGCTTATATGAGTAATATGTAGGTATTATATGTCATTTCAGATCCCTCTTGTTTTAATTTTTTTTTCCTTCTACTTTTCATTTTGCAAGTGTCAGAATTTCCCCCAGGTTTGTATAATACTTATTACAGCTACGTTCAGATGTTAATCCAGTTCTGTGTGATCACAGTGTGTATGTGAACCTGTATTAATATGGTTTTACTGCTATTGAGGGAAAAGTCATGTTGTGAGTTCTTGTCCCTGCATGTCAATGTCTTTAAGTCCAAATTTTTGTCTCTGAAATAAGGCTGCTAATAGTCAAAGTTCTGCAGTTGTATGGAGATATGAAGCCACTGAATTTACGGACTTTGCATTTTACTTTAGATTCAAACTCAGACCTCAGTTTATGAAATAATACATTAACAACTACCAGGTAGTCCACAGTACTTGAAAATCTTTTCAGCTATAATCATTAATAAGTAATGCTTCAGTGCTAAATATGGAATTACTTTTATTTGTAGCGCATGCATTATAGTATATTAAAATACAATCATTTCTATATTATTTTAGCTTGTTTGACAAAATATAATTACCTATAAAGCCAATAGCTACTCAGAAGTGAAATTTGTGGTGCATTCTTTCAAAACTGTTACAGACTTAGGGAGTTCAATAAAAATATCCCATTAAAATAAAGCATCGCCAAAGGCTGTATTTTCCTGGCAGACAATAAAATACCCAAAAGCACGCACAGACTGGTCATATGACAGCACGTGCTTTGTTAGTTATATTGTTAAACCTGTCTTTTCTTTTTCTCCCACAGCCACTGGTTTAGCCCTGGGGCTAGGAAGGAACATAGCCAGGTAAGAACTGCTTAGATCAAGAACATTTTACTTGAGATGTATAAAAGAATTTAACTACCTCTACTCCAGAAGTAGTGGGCTGATATTTTAAGAAATTATAAACAAAGCGGGTATGATTTCATATTTTCTTGTAAGGAAACATATTAACAGCAATGCATTACAGAAAGTCCCTTAATTAAAAATCTTTAGTTAGTCACTTAATTTCAGTCAAGTGTCTTTGAGTTTTAACAGGTTAAATGAAAAGTCTGATTATTCTTTTTAACGGTTTTGTTAATCACAGTATTTCAAAATGTTGGAAAGCAAAACATTTGACTCACAAAATCAAGAAATACAGAACAGTGACAAGAGTGGGCAGGCTTCTACAGGAAGATCTTTGATTCCATTTTTCTGCATTTCATTGGTTAAAGCAACAACAGCAGTAAAAAAGGAACTGTTAAATCTCCATTGTGGTGCAGATGTAGGTGAAAATATCTCACTGGTTTGTCTGCTGAGCCCTTACAATGTAGTCCCTAGGGCAAGCAAGCCTAGAGATGCAGTTGAAGGAATATGAAGACACTTCTTTAGCTTGTCTTCAGACATGGGGGAATACCTTTCTTTATGGATGATAGTAAGGTCTAAACAAGAACATACTGTCCAAGAACTATAAGATGTGAACATAAACCTGGTTTCATAAGTGTATAATTAACTTAAACTATTCAGTAAAAATAGTCAAATATATCATCAATACATTGAAATTTAAGACTAAAGTTCCATAGCACATTTTTTAAGTTGGTAAAAATTGATGTAACAGTTGATTTCATTAGGTCTGTGTCAGTTTGCTAGTACATTTACAAATTTAGATTTGAAAATTCAAAATGAAATAAGATCTATAGAATCTTTGGAAGGTTCATTTTAGGATGTTCCATCATGAACACTTGTAGCTGTAGTAAGTTATAGCTTAAATCAGTGTATACTCTTTCCTGTCCTCTCCCTCTTCTTTTGAACTCCAGAGCAAGCTAAATCTCTTAGTTATATTACTTGTCTAACACTTCCAAAGTGGATAAAACAGTACAGTTTTATCTGTAAATTGTAAATTTCTAACATTTTACAGTAAGCTGACTGACACATCTAAATAAATGGCTTTATATGATTCTCACTGAACTCTCATTATTTTGAAACACATTTCCTGGTAGAAGCAGCACATAAAAAAGAGCATTTTAAATATAAGTGTACTTTGTCTTAATTAATCATGATAAAAAGTTCTTTTAGGCTAATTTTTATCCTGTTCCTGAAATTGTGATGCTATAAGTAGTCAAATTTGCTAGGTTAGAATGAGTTTGAGTGATTTTTGGTTTTTGAATTTAAATTTTTGATGTATTAATTGTCTCACATAACAGTGTAGTTAACTGAAGAGGTACTGTTTACTTCTTTAAAAGATTCTAAGCTTAAAACAGTATGGAAGTTTCCATGCTGAGCAACACGTTAACCTACATGATACCTACTGATAATATTCATTCAGCATAGAGTGTGAGAAATGTCTGCTTAGCTGGTATATGATGACAAATTAATTATTTTTTCTCAGATAATAGTAGGTTTTAATTAATTTTAAATTTTATTTCATATTTCCTAATGGCTGTGTTTTCAGATCTTATTTGAAGTTCTCTGTATTTGTAACTTACAGATTACTAATGAATTGTGAAGTAAGCATAATGTCATCAAATAATATCAGTGGTACTGATACATAATGGTTTGGGGTTTTTTTAGACAAATAAAAGAAATGAGAATGATGGTGCAGTGTAATTATGACAATTTTAACAGCCTATAAAATTCTCACTAGATTTGTGAAGATCCATAGTGTATAGTTATTGGTTGCATGGGTTTACTACCTTTTCTTTTAATTAATTTCTGGAGTTGAAGTTATTATGTTAGAACACAAGTAATTAACTAATCAAATATAATGTCTGGCAGGTGAACTGTATTTATACATGCTATAACTACAACTTACGTGTCCGCCAGAGAATATTGATAACAGTAAGACTGTTCTCCTTAGATTGATCATGAAATGATTGTATGAATGTCATGCTGATAAAAATTGTGGCTACATTTAAATACAAATTGTAAGTGCTCTGATCTGTTCACATTAAGAAAATTTAAAAAATATTTTACAAAAATATATCAGAATAAAGTGCTTTACCTTTATGTATCGTTTAGATTGTCTTTTAAAACCAGACTGCACTATTTTACTGCTGAGAACTAGATAGTTGAGATGAGGAGCATTCCTTATAGAAGAAGGAAGCTGTATAGAGTTGGGGAAAAATTAATAAAGCATGATTTTATAGATAGGTGTCATTTTTTGGAGTCCATGCTTATGTACAACATTAAGGTGTGGTTGTCCAAGTCGTAAATTTCATCATTTCCTGATTTCCAGTGGACTTTTAAATGTGTTTGCTGTGAATATTAGATCCATTTACCTCTAGTCTGTTTCTAAACAGTCTTTCATTCTATATTTATTTTCTTCAATATATGACTAGTTTCAGGAAACATTTGTATTTTTTTTATACTATCTAGTTTTAATTTCTTTAATGTAACTTTTTGACAGTCGTTTTTTACTGTTACTGCCACTTTATTCATCCTGACAAATATCATAACACTGGAAAGAGACTTCTGAGTATTGTATCGTCTGAATGAAAAGTCTTCCTTTATTTGTCTAAAAATAGTGTAAATCGGAGCTTGTTCCAGAAGCTGAGTCACTGTTTCAATTAAATGAATCCTTCATTATTCCTACTGGCCCACTATTATGAGAAGCTTTAATACTGTGTTTTTGTTGATTCTGTAATTTTCAAATTACTAAAGCTCCTGGGGCTTAGAAGTTTCATAACTGCTTAAAGTGCCAACCTGAATAGTTTTTCCTAATTTAAGTGTTCTCCAACACTTTTTGTTGTACAATTTTGAAAATTTAAGTTGAAATTGTGAACATTGTAAAATTTTACAGGGAACTTAATTGTGAAATTATTAATCGCATGGTTTTCTAATGTACTTTGAGAATGTTTTAATTTTTACATTTTCAATTATTTAGGAATTTTAAATTGGTGGATATATCTTGAAATATTAGCTATCATTGTAAAATTCTATTAGATGTCCATCTCTTTTAGAGTCCTGGGTGAAAACTATTGAAAGATTACTCAAGACAGGAAAGAATGGCACTGTCAGGATAAGATTTCTAAAAAGCCAATAAAGGCATTGCTTGTGACATTGTTCTGAACATATTTTTTTTATAGCTTCAACTCCTGCGAGACAACCGATCAGAGAGGGGACATAAGAAGAACAGCTCTGTAAAAACAGCTAGCAGGTGAGTTAATGCTGCAGCTCTCTTTAATACTGTTTATGAATTTGTTGGTTTCTTAACTCTCAAATTGTTATATAAGAAATGACACAGTTCTTTTGGGGTATTTTCAAAGTTCTATTTTTTTGTGATTTACTTTCAAGAATTTCTTTTATATGGCATAATCTTTGCCTAAAATATGAGTATTAGACTTTATCAGTGACTGTATCCAACTACACTTACTAAACTTAATCTCTTTAGTAATCAGAATTAAACGGATGCCAAAGTAAAGTTTGTGCTTCTGGCATGTAAGTTAGGTGCTGAAAATGTATAAAATTACCATTATGTATAGATGCTTTTGAAATCAAGAAGATAACTCAAATACTGTTACACTTGCATTGTTCTTATATCATATTTTACAATAAAAATGTCATTGTGAAGACTTATTAAAAATAAATCTAGTTCTATCCTCCAGCTTCTTTCTTCCCCCTCAAAAGACAAAAAATCCAACACTGAACTGATGGGCACTGATCTAGGAGCCTGTTCCTAGAGGGGTTTTTATGCACGTTACCTGCTGAATCTTTTCTGCCAAGTAATTATTTTAATTCTAGTCTCTTTTTAAATGAGAAACTAGAGATGTCTCCCTTGCTATACACAGCACCTTACACAATTTTTATGTTGTCCTGTAAAGATGACAATGTTCTATCAAATAACTTATGTCAAAAAGTTATAATAGATTTATATCATCATGTAATGCTATGGTTTTGAATGAGACAGTTGTCTTTTGAGCACTTGTCTTCTAGTGTATATGTGATCATCCTGAAATAGGTTTTTAATACTGTTAAATACATTGATGAATATCTGAGAGACCAATACTTCTTTCAAAAATATGCATATTAAATATGAATCTATTTAGTTGTGTACAAGTTCTGGTTACATGCTCTAAAACATTGGCTATGCAAGTGTTGATAATTCATCTTCAGAAAGCTTTGTCTATTAAGACTTATATATTAAGCTAAAAAAAAATTGAAAATATCTGCATATGTTTTCTGGCAAGTGCACTTGTTAAATCATATTTCTGAGTGGAATTTTAGAATGAGCTCACTTCAGATACAGATTTTCACCATAAACACACTATACAGCTGCTTACATGAAACTGAGAGTATAAAGTAGATATAAAGTGAGCAGTAAGAAACGGATTATATTTGAAGTCATTTTAGGATCTTTATTATGCTGTAGCAATGTAAAAAGATGTCTGAGGAATTCAGAATCATAACTTGCGTGTTTGTTATTCTGACCAGTGAAACTCTTGTGAAGTGACTGCTACCTACACAAGCAGTTAGTGATTTTTAAAATTATATTAAATAGCTGATCTTCAGCTTTTGTTCATGTCCAGTCAACAGTAGACTGCTATCCCAATGAACATCTGACAGGGTTGTGTAGAAGCAATAGGTAACAAATCCAAGACTGAAGACTGGCATTTTCCATAAGATATCTGTAATATTAGACTTACATAAACAATTATTATGACGTACATAAAGTCACAGTATATTATCATACTGTGATCCCTTAAAAACAGCAAGGTCACCTGCTAACATCTCCTGGTACCACCATATCTGTTTTTAAAGGCTTTTTCCTCCAGATGGAGTGAGGTTATTTCAAAATAGTTATTTATGCTTTTTCAGAAAAAAAAAAATGATTTCTCTGACTACCAAGAAACTTTACTGTTAGTTCTTCAAAGTGACTTGAAGAAAAATTCTCAAACTTCCATGAATATGATATTTTTAACAGGCCATCTGCTGTCTTCGGATATCAAGTCATATACATCTTATTTACAAGATGCATAGTGAAAAATTTTAACATTCTTGGTACAGTTTGTCTGCTGAAAATAAGAATTTAATTTGCACAATGTGCAAACGTTTTTCTCTCAGGCCAATAGCATGTCTGGTGACTACTTTCTTCCTACAGTTTAAGTGTTCTATAACCTAATATTTTGCTTTTTATCAAAAGCTCTTACAACCAAAATAGAGATTGAATTTCAGATATATAGGAACAGCACATGACAAATACATAGTGCATCTCCTCATATGTCCATAGTACCTATCCTCACTTGAGTCAAGACAATTCCTCTGGTATTCTGTTCCTTACAAATGAAATTCATGGTAAGTAGTGACATTCATCAGATTTATCTGTGGTTAATATTGAAGGCCAGTTTTGTTATGGCCCAATTTTAAATTACCACTTCTTCCCAAGGGATTAATCTTAGTTTCAATGATACAGAGAAGGAAAACATTTCTGCTTAACAAGGTACCTACAGAAACTACTGGTTTAGTAGCAAATGTTGTTCAGAGTTAATAAAATGGTGAACATCACCTTAGTTGCAAATGGGCATCTTCATTACTTTGTATGATATCTTAAAATGGAAATCTGTCATTTAGATTTTTGCAGGTGCCCAAATACTTTAAAAAACACTAAAATACAATGCTACCAATCAAATGTCACAAGATTAAGTTACATCATTAAGTATCATTGTAGTAAATTTTTCAGTATTTCGGTGTACTACATGTATATGCAGCTAAATCTTCTGTTAAATGCAAGTTTTGACTCACACCTGAAAGTCTGAAGCTTTCTAAATTTTACTCTAAATTAGTTCTTGCATGTGTTGAGCTATTTCAGTTGACATATCAAAGTAATTCAGATGAGTAACCTCCTTAGAAAGAGGTATAGAAAAAGTAATGGCTGTGACCTCATATGGTCTTACTGTTTGTTGCTAAATGCATTGATAAAACAGAAGCAGTGGGTAAGTATTGGACATTCTATAAAATTATCATACTTATCCAGAATACAGTTTAATCTGCATTATTGCAAGACTGAATTGCTCTGGGTCTTTCTTTTTACAGTTTTCACACAACTGTTTCTTGTTGTGGGACTATCTTTTTGTTTGCTGTTCTGGAAGACCTTTTTTCTGGTTTTTGTATGTATGAGATATGTATATACACACATTTTTCTATGCTTGCCTTGACTTTTCCTACTCCTTTTGGATGACTGAACACAGTTCTTGTCTCAGCATGTAGACAGTATGTAAATACCCATATTACATTAGATCAGTGACTTGTGGAACAATTTACTCTGTAAATACATCGGAAAGGCGTGAAGCTCTAAGCACGACAGTGGTCTGCAGCTGTCTTTGTGATGGAATAATACTGATACTTTCTGGGTGAGCTTTACTGTCCTGGGTTGCTTGTATTAGGTTTCTTCTGAAAAAATTAATAATAATGAGCCAACCCTATATAAATATCGTGGTTTGAGCCTAATCGGCAACCAACCACGGCAGCTGGTCACCCTCCCTTCCCCCTCCCCACCTGGGAATGGGGGAGGGAATTGGAGGGGTGAAGGGAGACTTGCAGGCTGAGATAGGAACAGCTTAATAATGACAATAAAACGAGAACAATGATGATGATAGGAAAAAAAAAATATATATATATATAAACAGGCAATGCACAATGTAATTGCTCACCACCCGCTGACCAATCCCCAGCCCGTTCCCGGCCAGCGACCCCGAGATACCAAGATCCCACAGTCGCAATCCCGGAAGCGAGAGAGAGAGAGAGAGAGAGAGAGAGCTCCTTCTGACCACCCCTCCTCTCTATAGTGAGCATGACGTGCCATGATATGGAATATTTCACTGGCCAGTTTGGGTCTGGTGCTCTGTCCGTGCTCCCTCCCTGCTCCCTGTGCCCTTGCGCACGGGCAGGACATGGGGAGTCGGAGAGTCTTTGAAGTCTCGGCAGCAGCTGAAAACATCCGTGTGCTATCAGCATTCTTCCCATACCAAACCCAAAGCTAAATCCAAAACACAGAACTCTTCCAGTTCCCGAAAAGGAATATTAACTCTATTTCAGCCCAAACCAGGACATGAACTACATGAACTAACATGAACTTTTACTAGTGGCAAGATAATTAGATTGTTGAGAACTGTTGATATGGCTACTGATGAACCAAATGTTAAGGAGGAAGGGACAGTCCTGGACCAGAAAACATAGAACCTGGATAGATTATATTATGCTGATACAGTTCAACAAGTCATCTGCTGTATTCAACATATTTAAATATATATATATCTATTTATGCTACCTTTACAGATAATCTTTAATCTACAGATATGTAGTTCTTCCATTCATTTTTTAAATTATATAAAAAGTACTAAATAATACTGGTTTAGAAGTTGCCTTTATTTCTCCTGTATAAACTTTGAAAAAGTTCTCTGTTTACATTATCTGTCTGCATTAGGACAGGAACTAGTCCCGTCCCCAGCTACACGCCTTAGAGGAGTTTATTCTTCCAGTTGCTTGTTTTCATCCTCTACTCTTCTGCCAGTAAAGAAGGGAGGGTTTATCCACATTTTTTAATATGCTTTGGGCAAAAGCAACCTGGTTAGCTCAACTCACCTATTTAAATTAAATTGGCTAGTTTTGTACAAACCATATTAGGGAGTGCTCACATGATTTCTTCCTCCGGCAGAGCTGTGGAGATGATAATCTCCAGCAGATGTGCGATAACAAATAGCTTGGGATAGTAATGTCTTCATCTGGTGCAGTTGTTAGCAGACCAAATGTCTGTCTGTAGCCTGAGGCAGCGGGCAAACAATTGAACATGATTGAGTTATGGCGAGTTAACAAGTTGCTGCTTGGCAGCTGAACTGCCATAGCTGCATGTGCTCACTGTTTGCCTGCTCCTGTCATGAGGTAAAACATTTTCTTAAGGCACCTTTGTAAAGTTTTATAAAAATGAGTTCTACCTAAAGAAGATGACCCAGGGCTTAGAGATTGATTTGGTCAGCAACGGAGACAGCATTGAACGGTATTTTGCTGAGCTGCTATAACGTGATTTTGAATGTGTGATTATATTGTTCAATATATGGGGGACCTCCATCACACACCTGTCAGTCTGTGTCTTAATATTTAATGTATTTATCATCACAATACTCTCTGAAATTAGGAAGTACTTTTTTCCTCATTTGACAGAAT